AGATCAAGATTTGAAGCCAGTAATTGATTTTCTAAAAAAGTGTTTTGCACCCCGTGCTTGAGAGAAGGTATCTAGTTTAAGCCCTGTGACAAAGAACTATTGGTCACAATGGGACCAGGTGAATCTTGGAGAGGGAATTCTTCTCTGGTGATGGGAAAGTGACGATCTGGCAAACAGTTATACCGAGAAAGTTATGGGAAGTTGTGCTGTGTCAATCCCATGATACTTTAACAGGATGTCATCTCGGAATTAAGAAGACATTGAGTATCCTACGACAAAGATTTTACTGGATAGGTATAAGGCGAGATGTGGAAGAATGGTGCAGGACATGCAGTTCATGTAGTGCTAAAAGGGGACCCAAGCATAAGGTATGCCCACCTTATGAAAAGTTGCCTGAGAATATGTCAGTTTGTGAAAGCGTTATCGGAGAGGATGGATGATATTCACCGTCAAGTGCGTTCAAACTTGAAAACGTCTGCTGATTCGATGAAGTTATCTTATGATAAGAGATCTACTGAAGTCAGCTATATATCAGGAGACAAGGTATGGTTGTATAATCTCAGGAAGTCTTCTAAGTTGTCTTCTCCATGGGAAAGCCCATATGATATAGTGGATCGTCTCTCAGACGTGACTTTCCGGATAAAATGTGGTCGGCGAGGTAAGCCAAAAGTGGTGTATGCCAACAGGCTTTGATGTTATCACGGTCCAGGACATTTCAGTTGGGACGAAGTGGACAACAGAACAAATGACGCTGCTGAAGACGTGCCACCTGAAGAAGCCACCGTCAAAGAAGAAACTCTACTCAGTTTTCAGAAGGGAAACGGTGAAGCTCTTGATAAAGTTACTGCCACTGATGTGACTGTTATCGACGATAGAACATTTCCTGATGAAGCAGATGAACCCCATATGAAGCAGAAGCCAACGAGACGGAGACCAGTATGGAAGAAGATATGTCCCGTAAAATGAAGAGATTTTATTGAATTGTAATTTTGTGTTTGTAATTCTGTACATTTAATTAAGTTATTGTTATTGGTTTATTGTAAGTGGCTATTGTTCGGGACGAACAATACTAAGGAGGGGGCAGTGTTGCGTCAGTGAAGTCACGTGACTAGTATCACGCCACCCGTTTCTAGAAATATCCTCTTCCTTCAAGAATGCCCTAGCGTTTACTAGATATGTGTTAGTCTTGTATATATAAGATGTTCATAACGTGACGGAACAACAAGGTAATGAGTTATTGAACTGCAGTCAGAGAGTGTGTAATTGAACAGAGTATTGCACGTGAGACGTTCGTTGAGAACTATAGCACGACTGTTGAAATTAAGTGTATCGCAAAGTTATATTCAGAAAGAATAAACCAGTTTTATTTAAGAAAGGACTTGTGTCACTAAAGTTTCGTCGGAACGAATTTACGGAAAATTAATTAACGAACATAGACGTAACAACATGTTATTTTAGGTTATTCACTGTTTCACATTCCTTTCCACACATTACAAAACTATACTATTTATTACTAATATCTCTAATCACAGACTACATGGAAGGAAGCTAGTCAACAATACCTACTATAAACTCTAGGGCCACTCTTTACCAACCAATAGTAGGATTGACTGTCACATTACACGGGTGAAAAAGCAAGCATGTTTAGTAACATGTTTTGATCCCATGACTCGTAGATTGTGAGTTGAGCACCCAAACTAAAAGGCCACACCAGGTTTTAATAATAAATACTTAATACATTACTTTATTTCATGAGCTTTTAAATTAAATTTAATGGTTTTTACAATGAATGTCAAACATTTAAGATAAAAAATAATTAAGATGCAATTTATACAGTTTCTCACTTTATAAAATCTTTTTCTATACTGAATTACTACTGAAAACAAAAAAAATTAGGTGTAAGTCCATATTTAAGACAGTTTAAATTCAGCTGTAAAAATATGATAGTAAATTGTTACAACAACCAACATTACTTTAAGTTATTGATTTCTGGGTTAATTCTAAGAGATATCTTCCCATTTTAATTGGTTGTTTATAACAAAATCTTCTAATACTCTTCTCTGTACATGTGAATGACATCAATATTTTAAAGTTCCTTTTTCGAAATGTGTATATGTAATTTAAATATCTAGAAATGTCAAGATTTAGACACAATTAAAGTGTTTATCAATATTCTATTTATTTTTATCATGTTTATAACACAATAATCTCAGTACAAACTCAATGATCACTTTCTTCAACATTCAAGTCCCAGAAGGCTGTAAGTGTTTACTGAAATACGTGATAATCAATCATAGCAGCACATTCTCAGTATATGCTGGAATATTAATATACAGATACTGGTTCTAATGAATTGTTAAATTTCTTTTGTTGTCACTTTATCATCTCAACACTAACACAGAATAACTCCCAATTACAGGTATCAAAAACACTCCAAAGACAGGTCTGTACACATAAATCTTGTCTCTTGTTGTTCAACAACTTATAAACAACTACCACATTCACTTGTAGTTACTGTTTGTTCCAAGTTATTCACAACACAGTAGACAACAGTATAATTTCTCTCAAATTTGTGTTTTTAATCTATTGTTAGTTGCAAACTGTTTTCAATAAACTGAAAAACTGTAAGTTATCTCTACAGTATGTATTCCTTTATGATATTTCCATACACTATTTGTTTTAAGCTCTTTATTACATACCACACAACTGTAAGGTTTCACCCCAGCATGCATTCATTGTGATTTCTTAAGTTAAGAGTTATTTTGAAATAGCTTTCTACAAAACTTAAAACTTCTGGGTTTCTATCCAGTATGTATACATTCATGATATTTTAAGGAACCATTTTATCTAAAGTTTTTTCCACACATTGTACAACTACAAGCATTCTCCCTAGTGTGTGTTTTTTATGTTGTTTTAAGTGACTTTTTTTCCCCAATCTGTTTTCGTCAATTCAAACAACAATACAGTTTTTCCTCAGTGTGTGTACTTTTGGGTATTCTTAAAGCACTCATTGTTACAAACTGTTTTTCACACACTGTGCATTCTTTCATGTACATTTAATTGATCCTTTCTTCTAACCTGTTTTCCACACACTTTACAACTGTTTCCCTCCAGTTTGTAATATTTTATGATATTGTAAATTAGAATTACGTCCAAACTGTTTTCCACACACTATACAACTGTAAGGTTTCACCCCAGTGTGTATTCTTTCATGTATTTTTAATTCACTATTTCTTCTAAACTGTTTTTCCACATACTTTACAACTGTTTCTCCTGAATGTGTATTCTTTAATGTATTTTAAAATTGTCCTTTTTCCAATTTTCCAAACCTTTTTTCACACACTGTACAACTGTAAGGTTTCGCCTCAGTGTGCATTCTTTCATGCACTTTTAAATGACTGTTTGTTCCAACTGTTTTTCAAACACTGTATAATTGTAAGGTTTCACCCCAGTGTGTATTCTTTCATGTATTTTTAAATCACTATTTCTTCCAAACCTTTTTTTGACATACTGTACAACTGTAAGGTTTCTCTACAGTGTGTATTCTTTCATGTATTTTTAATTCACCATTTTTTCCAAAATGTTTTTCACACACTGAACAACTGTAAAGATTCACCTCAGTGTGTATTCTTTCATGTATTTTTAATTGACCCTTTATTCCAAACTGTTCTGCACACACTGTACAACTTTTCCCCCCAGTGTGTATTCTTTCATCTATTTTTAAATGACCCTTTCTTCCAAACTGTCTTTCACACCCTGTACAACTGTAAGGTTTCTCCTCAGTGTGTGTTCTTTTATGTATTTTTAATTCACCATTTGTTCCAGTGTTTTTCACACAGGGTCAACTGTCGGGTTTCTCCCCAGTGTGTATTCTTTCATATACTTTTAATTGACTCTTCCTTCTAAACCGTTTTCCACATACTTTACAACTGTTTATCCCCAGTGTGTATTCTTTCATGTACTTTTAATTGACTCTTCCTTCTAAACTGTTTTCCACACACTGTTCTCCCCCCCCCCCCCAGTGTGTATTCGTTCATGTATTTTAAATGACTGTAAGGTTTCTCCCCAGTGTGTATTCTGTCATGTACTTTCAAATGAACATTTGATCCAAACTGTTTTTTTTTTCACATACTTTACAACTGTAAGGTTTCACTCTAGTGTGTATTCTTTCACATATTTTTCAATCACTATTTCTTCTAAGCTGTTTTCACACACTGTACAACTGTAATGTTTCATCTCAATGTGTATTCTTTCATGTACTTTTAAAGACTGTTTGTTCCAAACTGCTTTTCACACACTGTACAACTGTAAGGTTTCTCTCCAGTGTGTATTATTTTGTGTACTTTTAAATGACCATTTGCTACAAACTGTTTTCTACACACTGTACAACTGTAAGGTTTCTCGCCAGTGTGTTATCTTTTATGTTGTTTTAAGTTGATATTTTTAACAAACTGTTTTTCACACACTGTACAACTGTAAGGTTTCACCCCAGTGTTTATTCTTTCATCTACTTACAAATGACTGGATGTTCTCAACTGTTTTTCACACACTGTTCAACTGTAAGGTTTCACCCCAGTGTTTATTCTTTCATTTACTTACAAATGACTGGATGTTCCCAACTGTTTTTCACACACTGTACAACTGTAAGGTTTCACCCCAGTGTGTATTCTTTTATATCTTTTTAAATCACTATTAATTCCAAACTGTTTTTAGCACACTGTACAAAATTAAGGTTTCTCCTAGTGTGTATTCTTTCATGTATTTTTAAATGATTCCTTTTTCGAAACTGTTTTTCACACACCGTACAACTGTAAAGTTTCTCCCCAGTATGTAGTCTATCATGTATTTTTAATTGACCTTTCGTTCCAAAGTGTTTTTCACACAATGTACAACTATAAGGTTTCTCTCCAGTGTGTATTCTTTCATGTATTTTTAAATAATCCTTTTTACCAAACTTTTTTTCACACACTGTACAACTGTAAGGTTTCACCCCAGTGTGTATTCTTTCATGTATTTTTAAATCACTATTTTTCGCAAACTGTTTTCCACACACTGTACAAGTGTAAGGTTTCTCCCCAGTGTGTATTCTTTCATGTGCTTTTAAATGATCCTTTTCTCTAAACCGTTTTTCACACACTGTACAGCTGTAAAGTTTGTCACTAGTGTATATTCTTTCATG